TAACGAAAATTTGTTTACCCAAATATCAAAATCCGCAGCAAATAACAATATTATTAATATATTTCTCGCTCGTTTTTCCAATATTGATTATTATCCAAACGAAATTCCATAATTGTCTTTACCAAATAACATATCTCCATCATCTGAAAAAGTAAAAAAATCTTATTAGATATTCAATCAATATTTCATTAAATTAAAAAAATGTAGATTAAATGTAATTGGCATTAGAATTATTGAAATTAACTGAATTGAATGTACTTAAAACTATATGAATATAATAAGTTATAGTAATCATGACAAAAAATATATTCGTTAAACGATAATATTAATAGTTTTCATTTTAATCGTTAACGCAAATCGTTAATTCAATTATCAACCGCAAGACAATCGTAATTGAATTTTAACGATATTAAAGGTGGCTTTGCACATCATAAATAATAAACAAAAATTCGAAACACGCAACGATCTGACGTATGCCCGGGAAATATGCTTCAAAATGTAATTACGAAAAATCTACATTTAAATCGAACTTTATTCTATAATTGGAATTGTAATTGTATTCAAATTATCAATTTATACTCACTTTTCAGTCACAATTCGAAGAGATTCGCACACAACAACACACGACTCGCAACAGGAAATGAACAAACGAACAAACAAATGACTTGTTGTTTAGTTTCCTTTGGTTACTGTGCACATCAAGTTGCATAATCAGTAAAACGCAATTTTTTGAAAATAGATTACTGCTTATAAAATTGCATAAGTTAAATTGTTTTTATTATGTTATTAAATCAATCATTAATTAAATCGTTTTTAATTGTATGTTAATTATGATAACAACTAATTGATTATTTGAAATTAATTATTTAATCAACAAAAAAATGTGTTTACTTATTTCGGCGTTCGATGGCGCCACGATCGTGACAGTTGAAAAAGTCGGTATAAGAAAAGCGATTGGCTTAGAGCGTTCGAGGTTAGGTCAATTGTTTTTGTTGAGGAAGGTTCTCCCAGTGTTTTCGCTTACATTCATTCACTATGAATGCGCCACCGACCTTTGAATCGTTCTTGCTGTACGATGGAGAAAAGAAGTAAGTTTTCAGTTCAACGAATCAAATGAAATTCTTAACTTTTTTTCTTCTTTTTAGGATCACATGCGAACAAGATACCAAAGTCCCAAACGCTGCTATATTCACCATAAACAAGGAAGATCACACGTTGGGAAACATGATCAGGAAGTGAGGATGTTATACACTTTCTTTGTTCATATTTTGAATGTCTTATTGTTGTTGTTTTAGCCAACTGTTGAAGGATCCGAATGTCCTCTTCGCTGGATACAAATTACCACATCCACTTGAACACAAATTCGTTATCCGCATCCAAACCACCTCCGATTACTCACCTCAAGAAGCCCTGATGCACGCGATCAGAGATCTGATGGCCGAATTATCTCTGTTTCAGGAGAGATTCAGTGAGGCAGTTAAAGAGAAGAAGGATCGTTTGGATTAAGATTTATAATTTGTATTATTTTTTTATATATTGCTTAAATACTTAGAAGTTTAATCTTAAAACAAAGTCTCAATGGAAACGTTGCCTTAAGTCATATTATTTTCGTTGCTAGGCAACCAAATATGCACAATTTAACATTCAAGTTAAATTTAACAAACCTGAAACAACAGAAGGAAAGTTAAAAATGATGCGGAAAATTTGATAATTTAAATTATTTATTTATTTGTATAGTTTTTAAATTATAAAATGTTTCACATAGTTTACAATTCGTTCAAATTTACAAGGTAATGGAAATACATACATATATATATTCAACAACAAAACGTCGAAACATCGATGATGCTTTGCATGGATGTTTCGCGTTGCGTTACACAAACACACGCAAACACAAAAAACAATTGAAAACAAAACGTAACATCATTTTTTTCTTCTGTTTTTCGCTAGATTTCGATTCTCGTTCAATTTTCAACCTCTCGCAATTAAAATTAAACAAAAATATATTCGCTAAATTCTCCTAGTGCGTCTCGTCAAAATGTCTGATCCTCCTGGCAATCTTCGGTCATATGTCCAAAAACTGTGAAAAGAAAAAAGAATAATTAAAAATTCAACTTTGACATCTTCAAATGTCACAATTTTGACAGCTTATATAACGAACAACTGTCATAAATGTGAATTTACGAACGTTTTGTAGCGTAGATTGTTAGATTTAGTTATCAGCTGCAGCTGATACTCAAATTATACATTGAGTTGATTATAGGAAAGTCGCAATTATGACTATAAATTCATTTTGTAGCTTTGACAGTTGAGGAAATGTCAAAGTTATGACAGGGACACTCAATTTGTAGCATACAGATTTAACTTTCATATTTGTCTTCAACTTTGAGCAATTAGAAAATCGATAATTACCTTCGCAAATTTCGCAGAAGGGCCTTGAAGGTCCCGTCTCCCTCAGTTTGTGCGGCTTCGAGAACGAGGGCAGTTCGTCGTTGCCCTGCTGTGGACAATCGTCCGTCTCGTGCCTATCGAATACCTCGCAGATGTCGCAGTACATGCGCGGCGGAATCTTCTTAACTTCCAAACTGAAAACAACAATGTCTTAATAACTCATCTTAAAGACTATTTCGATTCGCACTCACATCTTAAGCTCATCCGCGTCTGCCGGACTATAGCCTAACTCCAGTATTTCGAGTCTAGCCTTCTGCTCCTCATTTTTCTTCTGCATATCGACGATGATCGAGTTGAGAAACTCGACTTGACTCTCGGCGAAGAGTTTCTCCTGCAGCAGCTGCTTGTAATTATTAGACACCGTATTATTGTTGGTAACAATCTAGAGTGAAAACAAAAGAGAAAAAGAAAAGCAAATCGGACATGCGGTTTTAATGTGCTGAAATCTAAGGCGGCGTTAAGTGTATGATAAAAAAAAAGAAACTCACTGAAGCGTCGGTTTGCTGTGGCAACTCGATCCTTCTATTCTGATCCTGCTGCTGCTGCTACAAAAAAACAATTTTAATTATCAAATTTTTCGTTTTTTTTTTGTTTATTAACTTACGTTGCTCAATTGATTCTGCAGATTACTTATGTCGTTCTGCGCTTGCGCGTTCTGCCTGGTCGTCTTCTCCAGAGCTTCGGTCACCTCCTTCAACCTCTTCTGCCACTCCAAACTCTCGTCCTTCTCCACCGTGACCATCTTCAGCAAATCGTTGCGATCGCCGCCTCCCAGCGTTGCGGAAAGCTCGTTTCTCTGCCGTTCCGTTAACCGTAAAGCGCTCAGGATCTGCACGTAACTGTTCCTCTCCGACTTCAGCACTTCCAAATCGGCGGTAGATTGTTTCGCGCTTTCCGTTAAAACGTGCATCCGGTTCGCGACTTCCGTTTCCGCCTTCTGCTTGGCAACCAGTGACTCGTCTTTCTCCCGCTTCAACCCGTCGACCAATCGCGTCGCCTCCTGCAGATCCGAAGCCAACTTGACGATTTCCTGCTGTTTCGTTTCCATAGTAACCAAATTCGAGTTGACGTCGTTCTTGGTGAGGTCCAGCTGTGACTCGAGCTCTTTGATCCGCGCCAATTTACTCTGATCCGCGCCCAAAGTTTTCTCTAAATTATTTCGCGACTCCAACAATTCAGTTTCGAAATCTCTCTTCAAACTATCCAATTCCTTTCGTTGCGTCTCGGTCAACTCGAGAAGTTGAACGTCTTTTTTCGCCGAAACTTCTTGTTCTTTTTTCAGCAATTCGGTGAGATTCGCGGTGGATTCTTCGAACGCCTTTTTGGCCTCCTGTAATTCTGCGGTGCTTTGCACCAATTTCACCGCCAAATCCACGTTTTCTCCCTCGAAATGTTTAATCTTCACTTGACTCTCTTCGATCGCCTTCTGCAAATTTCCAATTTCACTTGATAACTTCTCGCTTTCGCCTTTTCCGCTCCTCACGATCGATTCCTTTTCACTCTCCAAAGTCTTCAGATCACCCAAAACCTTCTCGAATTGCTCATCCTTATCCTTCAACCGTTTCTCGACTTCTTGCAAATCCGCCAGAAGCTTAACCTTCTCCTCGTTAACTCCGCCAACTTGAGCTTCACCAATCCTCAACTTCTCTTGCAACTCCTTCAATTTCCCATCGACGATTTCCATTTCCTTCCTTGATTTCTCCACGACGCTCTGCAACTCGATTTCCTTCTGCTGCAAACAGTGTTGAGTTTCTTGCAGTTTCACGTTGAAGTCGTCTCTGGTTTTCTCAAGAGAAGCTTCTTTTTCACGCACCTGAGCGTTCAAAGCTTCTAGTCTTGCGCTATCCTCGCCGGTGGATCCGTAAAGTTTCTTGATTTCCTCCTCCAAACCCAACTTCAACTTAACAATTTCCTCCACTTTACTCTCGCTCTGCTGCAGTTTCCTCTGGTAATCCCCGATCGACAATTCCAATTCATCGATCTTCGATTTACTCGCCTCCATTTCTTGACTAAATCTACCTTCAAATTCCTTCAGTTTCGCCTCCAGATCAACTTTAACCTTCTCCTTCTCCGAAACATCAAGTTCCAAATCTTTAACTCTACCGATACTTCTCTCCAATTCACCTAATTTACCCTCTAAATTCGCTTTAACTACCTTCAATTCATCCTCAGTCTCCTTCAATCTTCTCAAATTGTTGCTCTGGATCTCATCTTTGCTCTGCTCCAAACCCAATTTGCTCTCCAAAAGCTGCTTCAGCTCCGAATCCTTCAACAACAAAGTCTCTTTGCTCGTCTGAATCTCAGCCCTCAACTCATCTTCAACATCTCTCGAAGCCTTTTTCATCTTCTCAAATTCCTCTTGCAGCTTCCTGAATTTACCCTCACCACCAACGACTTCTTCATCTTTAGCTTTAAGCCCCTCGGAAAGCGTTTCGATTTCCAAGACTTTACCACTAATCTCCATGCGGCAACGATCCAACTCCTTCCTCAAACTCGCCTCGTTCGCTTGAGTTTCGAACTTGAACAGCTCCAACTCTTTAACAACTTTCTCCAAAGACCCTCCAGTCTCACCCAATTCCTGTTTCAAACTCTTGATCTCTTCATCTCTAGCTCCAACGTCCGTTTCATACTTGATCTTAGCATCTTCCATATCCTTGTTGTACTTGAAAGTTGCGACCTCCTGCTCGGACAGTTGTCGCGTCAATCTCGTGTTCAGAGTTTCCAATTCCTTCAGCGATTCGCCTTGCTGCTTCTTCAGTAACTCATTGGATTCTTCAAGTTTAATTTGCAAAGATTGCACCAATTCTATAACAATCAAAAAGAACCAATTAAACCAATATTATTACGTTAATAATTTACATTAGCTCACCGATTGATTTCGATTCTTCGCCTTCCAGCAAAGTTCGTTTTTCGTTCGCGTGCTCCAGCAGATCCCTCATCGAGGCGTTCTCTTCGTTCCTCTTCGTCAGCTCTTCGGTTAATTCCGCCAAAGAACTGGACAATCCCTCGGTTCGTATCTTGAATTCCTCCAATTGGAACTCGAGATCCGAGATTTTCGTCAGATTCGACTCGTTCGCCATCTATCGGTGAAAGCGATTAACACACACGGTTTTGCAACAAAACAATCAAAAATATTAACAAATCTCATTCCAATGTTACTGATTATTATAAATCCATTCAATTACTTTTTTTTTATCAATACAAATTATTTTCAATCAACACGAAATTAGCAGGAAATTAATCGAGTTAGTTTGTTAATATTTTTTTTTTCAGGGAAATTACACATGCACAAAAAACACCAGAAAAACAATGTTATTGGTCGTTAAGGGAAACGTATGGAGGAGGCGTGGAAAACGAACGAACAACGAAAACAAGCGCACACTCACGAACTTACATTCTGGGCCTTGATTTTTTGCTGAAAACATTCATGTTTTGCGTTTTAATATACAAGAATTTAATAATTACTTAAACCAAAATTGGAAATTAATTTAAGATATTTCAATTTTTCGATCTGTCTTCGACATCATCCAATATTCTAATGAATGTTACGTTTCCATAGAAACCAAAAACTAACCTCGATGTCGCCATTGGTGATCGCCGCCTCCTCGAATTTGAACTGCAAATCTTCGTTCTTCCTACGTTCATCGTCCAGCTGAGCCAAAACATTGTTCCTCTCGTTCTTCAGCTCATCGATGAGCAACGAGCATTCCTTGAATTTGCTGTCGCACTGCGATCGGTACTGAAATCAACAAATTACGTAAGAAGAAATTTTTACATTTTGTTGTTGCAATTGTTTATGTTTTTGTTTACCTGTTCGAATTCGGATTTGATCGTGGCGTGCTTCTGTTCGGCGTCGTCCGCCTGACTCGCGGCCCTCGTGATTTCCGCCCTCTCCAAATCGCGTTCCTTCAGCAGCTGCTCGATGTGCTGCTGCTTCTCCTTGAGAACCTCCTGAAGAATCGCATCAAAATAAATTTGTTTTAAATTTTCTTGCTGTTACAAAACGAAGACGTGTGAAACTCGAGGAATTCGCTTTGCATCGTTCTTCTGTTTAATTTGTTTATATATATATTGACATGTATGTTTTTGAAGTTTATTATTATTTCGTTGCCATGGTTATTTAACCTTAACGACTGGTTGCATAAAATCGCATCGCGCAATTAATCATTGAAATGTTTATAGACAAATTGTGGACGCGCCGGGTTTGCTAACCTTAAATATAATTTTTCGAGGTTAGGACGATTTTTTTTCTTATTCATTTCTAATTGAATTAAGTCAAAAAAAAATTGAAAAATGACTTTTAGTAAACAAAAAAAAAATTATATATAATAAAAAACAATTATAAATTCTTGCCACGAGATGGCGCTACAGCAGAATTTGTTTATAATCATTATAAAAAGCGTATTTAAAACAAAAAAAAATCTACAAATATATACGTTTTTTGTTTGTTTTTGTTTTCTACTAATGTCAAGCTAAATTTTGGAGACACTGCTTTTGAGAAATTTATAAAGCATTTTCAAAAAATAAAACAATTTTATTTGTTGGTTAATTTGATTGAAATTTTGGGAAACACTGCTTTACAAACAATTGGTATTTTTTTGAGGGATTCTTTGTGGGTTTAAGAGATAAAAGGTTAAGAGCGACGTGCATCTTTATTAAACACAGAAATAAAACCATATTTTCGAACCTGTCGTTAAAAACCTAACAAAAATAAATAAACTATATTTCAAAAACAATACATTTCATATATAAATAGAATGTGATTAAACAAAATCACATCGAAGCAAGCGAATTTGTAAAACTCTTATTAACAGCAAAATAAAAAACAAAAGAAAACGTTATTAATTGGTAGTTTTTTTTAGTGTGCTGCAAACTACTTTTTCTCAAGTTTTCAAGTACAAAACAAAGAACTTAAAGTTAATATTTATAAAAAAAGAAGGGAGAAACGACGATTGGTTAAGCGGTGCAAAACAATTTCCTCGAGTTTTTTCTATTTTGTTTTATTGTTGTCGTCGTCATTTGTTCCGTTCGTCGATTGTCGAATGATCAATCAATAGATTACCTGAAGAGCCTGGCGCGACGGTAAAGGCGTGGAGCTCATCTTCGGCGGAGTTTTCTGGTTAAAATTAATTTTAACAAAAAAGAAAGAGAAAAAAAAAACAAAAAGAACAAAATTAATATCAAAACTTTCACACATTTTCGAACACGAATCGAGCAATCATCGATAAACAGTTGATTTGTTTAAACAATTGACGCACTTTCAGTGAAACAATTGAAATTAATGACGTTTATCCGGTGATTCATCGATTCGTTTACGTTTAGAAATAAAAAGAAACAAACGAACGAACGAAGGGCATGCTTTCAATGTACGCTCGCATATTGTCAAACAAACTCTAAATCTATCTACTACAGACTTAAAAAACAAAAAAAAAACGTTAAAACAGCAACGAATCTAAGATTTACCTCTTCGATCCTCGGGATCTTTATTATATAATTAGATGAAACAAAAAGAAAACAAAAAAAAGAGGTGAGACAGAGATGAAACGGAGCTAAATTCGTAACTATGGCAACGTTCCAATGCAAAAACGAAAAAAAAAAAACACTAACGGCATCAACATCAAACGCTAAACAATCCATACGAAAAAAAACATATGACTAACGTCCTTTTTAAATTTTGTTATTTAACTAGCAAAAGCATGCTTGATTTTTGTTTTCTGTTACTTAATCTTCTTACTGTCCATACCTCGGGCACGACAATTTTGTCCTAAATATTCGAAAAAAAATTGCTCGTTTATTTTTGATGACAACGAATGCTAAATTGCATGTTTTTACAAATGACAAGTATAATTCATTCGTTTGCTATTTGTCAAAAATGACATGCTCAGATGTTTCTTGTTTTTTTTTTCTTTATTATTCTTATTTTGTCTACTTTACTTTTCTTTTGGAAATTGATTTGAAATGTCAAATGTCAACTGATAATTAAAAATAAATTATTTGGCATGTGTCAAAATTGACAATGTTGCATGTTTTTACAAATGACAACGTCAAAATGACAAGTATAATTCATTAATTTGCTATTTGTCAAAATTGACATGCTCAGATGTTTCTTGTTTTTTTTCTTTATTATTCTAATGTTGTCTACTTTACTTTTCTTTTGGAAATTGATTTTAAATGTCAAATGTCAACTGATAATTAAAAATAAATTATTTGGCATGTGTCAAAATTGACAATGTTGCATGTATTTACAAATGACAACGTCAAAATGTCAAGTAAACTTTCGTATTTCGTTTGCTATCTGTCAAAATTGACATGCTCAGATGTTTCTTGTTTTTTTTCTTAATTAATCTAATTTCGTCTACTTTTCTTTTCTTTTGGAAATTGATTTCAAATTTTGAAAACAATTTTAATCCATATTCAATTTAGACAATGCCAAACGTCAAGTGATAATTACAAATCAATTGTTTGTATTGTATCAAAATTTCTCTTAAAAAATGGACTAGATGATTCTTGTTTTGTTAATTTCTTGATTTTTTTTGTATAATTGAATTTTCTCTTCAAATCAAACGTCATGTGACAAATGTCAAAAGTTGACGTCATAAACGTCATGTCAAAATTTGACGTGACGCCATTATAAATTGACGCCATCTTAAAAGAAAAGAAAACCGAATGATTCTTACTTAAATCTAGATGACTAGATGTTTCTTGTTTTGTTAATTTCTTGAATTTTCGTATAATTGAATTATTGTGTTTCCTCTTCAATCAAACGTCATGTGACAAATGTTCTCAACTTTTGACATTTGTCACATGATTCTCTTCAAATCAAACGTCATGTGACAAATGTCAAAAGTTGATGTCTAAACGTCATGTCAAAATTTGACGTGACGCCATTATAAATTGACGCCATCTTAAAAGAAAAACAAAACCGTATGATTCTTACTTGAATCTAGATGACTAGATGATTCTTGTTTTGTTAATTTCTTGAATTTTCGTATAATTGAATTATTGTGTTTCCTCTTCAATCAAACGTCATGTGACAAATGTTAAAAACGTCAACTTTTGACATTTGTCACATGACGCCATTGTCAATTGAACAAATAAACCTAGATGCTAAACGTCATGTCAAAATTTGACGTGACGCCATTATAAATTGACGCCATCTTAAAAGAAAACAAAACCGAATGATTCTTACTTGAATCTAGATGACTAGATGTTTCTTGTTTTGTTAATTTCTTGAATTTTTGTATAATTGAATTATTGTGTTTCCTCTTCAATCAAACGCCATGTGACAAATGTTAAAA